CACTATTCCACCTACTGACACCACTGATGGGGCACTATTCCTCCCAGTGATGGGGTACTATTCCTCCCACTGACACCATGATGGCACATGGTTTACTCCCACATACGCCAGGCCACTTTTTAGTCCCACTGACCACAGTCCTGTCCCCCTTAAGTCTAAAGGACAGTAAACTGGTCCTTTGTTTAAAATGATGGGGAACTATTCCTCCCACTAACATCAACAATGGGACACTATTCCTCCCACTGACACCAACGATGGCTCATTGTTTACTGCCACATATGCCAGGCCACTTTTTTACTCCCACTGACCACAGTCTGGCCCCCCTTAAGTCTGAAGGACAATAAACTGGTTCTTTGTTTAAAATGATGGGGCACTATTCCTCCCACTGACATCGACGATGGGGCACTGTTTCTCCCACTAACATCAACAATGGGACACTATTCCTCCCACTGACACCAACGATGGCTCATTGTTTACTGCCACATATGCCAGGCCACTTTTTACTCCCACTGACCACAGTCTGGCCCCCCCTTAAGTCTGAAGGACAATAAACTGGTCCTTTGTTTAAAATGATGGGGCACTATTCCTCCCACTGACATCGACGATGGGGCACTGTTTCTCCCACTAACATCAACAATGGGACACTATTCCTCCCACTGACACCAACGATGGCTCATTGTTTACTGCCACATACGCCAGGCCACTTTTTATTTCCACTGACCACAGTCTGGCCCCCCCTTAAGTCTGAAGGACAATAAACTGGTCCTTTGTTTAAAATGATGGGGCACTATTCCTCCCACTGACTCCAATAATGGGGCACTATTCCTCCCACTGACTCCAACAATGGGGCACTATTCCTCCCACTAATACCAATGATGGGGCACTATTCCTCCCACTGACACCAATGATGGGCACTATTCCTCCCACTGACACCAATGATGGGGCACTATTCCCCCCACTGACTCCAACAATGGGGCACTATTCCTCCCACTGACACCAACGATGGTGCCTTGTTTGCTACCACTTACGTCAGGCCACTTTGTACTCCCACTGACCACAGTCAGGCACCCTTCAAGTCTGAAGGACAGTAAACGGGGCCCTTTGTTTAGAACGTTTGGAGACCCGTGGTCTAGGCAAACCAAGCGGAAGGGGGAGCAGGCAACTATCAAAGCTAGCTACCCACTCGCCCCCCTCCCCACCAAAAAAAGTGCCCAAAAGGTAAAGTGGGGAGGTGGCAGAAAAGCGGAACTTCCCCTTTGGGCAAAGTTACACTTTAAGATCACCATTGAGGGAGCCCCTGGATGTCACTTTGCTGGAGCAGAGATAAGTATAGGCAAGGATTTAATTCATTTTTTTTAAGCTGAACCATTGTTTAGCACTGCAGGAAGAAAGGGCCTGTATTATGTATCAATCAAATATGACCATCCCCATGTACATATATAATTACTAACTGGAACTCAATTTACAGAACAATAGCACACTCTGATACAATTATTTTCATAAAACTGATTTGCTTTACATGTATATTGAAAAAATACTGCAAGACTTTACAGTCCCTCTAATAACAACTCCTGCTGTGCTCTGGGGTAATAGAATAGCACGAGGCTGGATGACTTGTACCTACAGTCTGTATTTCATGGAAACGTCCAGCTCATTTCCAAGAATGTTCATCCTTTAACAGTCATTGACATGCTGGTCTAAAAACCGTGTGACTCTATGGGCACTGAAGTAATTTAATATATGGCTGTTGAGAGGTTTTTGCTGGAAATGTAAATAAACAACTTATTTATCATACTGTTAGTCACAGCAAACAGGATGTGTGCTGAAATACGAGGCTGTCTGGAGATCAGGAATGCACATGTAGTGGAGAGATATTATGGATTTCCAAGTAGCAAAGGTTCTTACAACTAAGAATCCTCCATGAGGGGTACTTGCCACCTGTATCAAACCCACATTCAATAATCTCTGATCTGCTCATTTATATCCCAGTAAATTGTGTCCATTCTCTTACAGATGTTTCATTTAAGTAGTAGTCACCTTTGTACATCTCTGCACAGAGCTAAAGGAGTTTGAAAAAAAATTGTGAATGTCCCAGCAACTGGCAAGACATACTCCTTGGATTCCTAATAATTTTTTTTGTCTTTTCAGGTTTTATGACTTTTAAGTGGTACTAACCACTTTCCTACCACCCTATAGTAGAACTACTAGTAGAAACAGAAACAAAACGTCCTGTATATATATTATACATTCACATCAGTCCCTAACCCTCAAGGGGTGTACAATCTAAGGTCCCTAACTTACATTCATACAAACACATACTAGGGCCAATTTAGACAGGATTCAATTAACCTACCAGCATGTCTTTGGAGTGTGAGAGGAAACTGGAGTACCCAGAGGAAACCCACGCAGGCACCGGGAGAACATGCAAACTCCAGGCAGGTGGTGCCGTGGCTGGGATTCGAACCAGCGACTTGAGTACTGCCAGGCAGAAGTGCTAACCATTTAGCCACTGTGCTGCCCGTACATAAAAGTTCATCCGGTGGCCTATCAAAGGTTGTGCAGCTCTAACTCAAGGCTGGGGAAGCCCAATAACAGCTGTAACAAAGAACAAAAACAAAAGCACACCAACCTTGCACAATACCTCAGTGAGTAAAGGGTGAATTTATTAAATTGAGGTATATACTCACAAAAGTAGCAACATTAAAAGAAGAAGGGATCACCCTTCGAAACGCATCAGCTTCATCCTGAGAGTCTCCCCTCTCGATGGGACCCTGCATGTGTCTGCTATCCCAGTGCGCTGATGTTGGATTTTATATGCTTTTAATGTTGCTACTTTTGTGAGTATATACCTCAATTTATTAAATTCACCCTTTACTCAGTGAATTAATGTGCAAGGTTGGTGCGCTTTTGTTTTTGTTCTTTGTTACAGTAGAACTACTGCCATATGGTGGCATTGCTGTGCAAAGTACCGTGTGTATATATATATATATATATATATATATATATATATATACACACGTGATTTGCATTTCCAGGTAGGGGGCACACACACCGCCATTGGCGGCTAGGGATGTCAATCGCCGTGTCCTGGCTGGAGATTAACCGCCGGCACCCAGCAATCGTCAGGGAAAGCTGACAGGGGAGAGACCTGTGTGTAAACAACACAGGTCTTTCTCCTGTCATCGTGGACATGCTGTTTTGTATCTCTGTGCACAGCAGAGAAATACACAGCAGCATGTCTCCCTAGTAAAACACAGCACACAGTAAAACACACACAGCACAGCAGAGAAATACAGAGCAACATGTTTCCCTAGTAAAACTCACACAGCACATACTGTAAAACAGCACACAGCTAACCCTTTGATCACCCCAGATATTAACCCCTTCCATCAGATGACAGTTGGCTTGTGGCATGAAAACCCCCCACTGCCACCGCCATATGACATGCAAACGGTCACATTTAAGCGACTGCATTAGGTTAATTTTTTAGCTATTTATACTTTTTCATTAGAGATCCAGACACTTTTTAAGAAGTTATAGAAGCAGCTTTTTTTCTTTTGGAATAAAGGTTTTACATAATTAAGTCCTCATGCACACTTGACATTTTTACAGCGGCTGTTTTTGGCTTTTGACATTTTTTTCTACAGCTAGTAAACTCCCCAGCATGTTATCCTAGGTGTCCATGCACACATAGACTGTAATCAACTTTTTTTTGGCTGGAAAAAAAAACCAGGACTAGTGGGTTTCTAGAGGAGTTTTTTTAGCTGTAAAACGCTCTAACGCTGAAAAACGTGGTAAAACACAGCAAACCGGCGTTTTTGGACTTTTTTTGGCCAAAAAAAAATTTTGTTTTTGGTATAAAAAAAAAACGCTAAAAACCACAAACGCTGCTAAATGCTAATGCAAAAAAATGCTTAAAAAAGCTGAAATACTCATGTTATTATGTGACTTTACACAGCTAATGTTGCCAGCGTTCTCAAAACGTCCCGTGTGCATAAGGACTAAATAAAAGGTGATCATTGTAAGCACCTCTGTCAGCATTAAAGGGTTTGTCTCAACCCAACAATGGACACCTTTTTTGGACAGTTTGGTCTGTTAAAGGAAAAACGTTTAAAATGACAGACATTGGCTGGATTACCGGGTGAAAATAAATAAAAAAAGAAAATGAATGTACTTACCAGTTAAGAACTGCAATAAAATTTATATCTGTTTGTGGGTGTAATATTGCTTTAATGTGTAAGTAAACCCAAAAACAAAAAAAACTTACCCAAACACATTGAAGAAATACATTAAAGACCTTACAATACAGTTCACTAGAAATGTATGATTTTTTTCTCCCTACATAATTCCAATTTTCTTGAAAATTCATGTTGTTCTGCCAGAGACTTCCTTTTCCCTGTCTGCAGCGGCAATGATCTGCAGGCCTATGTAGTCTTTGCACAGCATGACCATCGCATTAGACATGCTCAGTCTAATGTAAATAAATACGCCTTGTCTATGGCTCCCATTTCAGCTCTTCTGGGGACCCTGGCTGTCTTTTCCATTGACTGTAGGGCCAAAGGGGGAAAAGTGCCTTCTTCAAGATGCCATGTGAGGCACTGCATACTTGTACTGCTCCTCTTCCAGGCAGCAAAGAGCCCCAAACCAGCAAGGTGGTCATGTGATCTGCAAAATAGAGAAGAAAAATGGTATTTAGGAGCACTTTTTTTGATAGTCCATGCTTGCTGCTTTTATTTGTAAGAATTTGTCTATACAAACTTATGTTGGAATTTAGGTCTACCTGCACTCTTTAACCACAAGCCTACAGGGCACTTATACCCCCTTCCTGCCCAGGCCAATTTCCAGCTTTCAGCGCTGTTGTTGCACTTTGAATGACAATTGCGTGGTGACAGAGCTTTATTTTGGTGGTGTTTTATAACCTCTGGGTTTTTTATTTTTTCTTAAACAAACCAAAAACAACAGAAAATTTTGAAAAAAAAAATGTTTTCTTAGTTTTTGTTATAAAATTTGGTAAATAAGTGATTTTTTTCTCCTTCACTGATGTTCGCTAATGAGGCTGCAGTGATGGGCACTGATAGGCTCCACTGATGGACACTGATAGGTGGCACTGATGGGCACTGATAAGGAGGCATTGGTAGGTGGCACTGATGGACATTGACAGGCATCACTGATGGGCACTGGAAGGCAGCACTCATATATGGCACTGATAGGCGGCACTGATGCACACTTGATAGGTGGCACTGACTGGCACTGATGGGTGACACTGAAAGGCAGCTCAGATGGGCACTGAAATGTGGCACTGATGGGCACTGGCAAGTGGCATGGATGAGCACTGACAGCTGGCACTGATGGACACTAACAGGTGGCACTGCTGGGGCTACACAGATCATGAGAGCACACTGATCATCAGTGCCCTGATGATCTGTGTACATGTCCCCTCTGAGGAATGCCGATTACTGGCTCTCCTCTCCTCACGAGCTGTCAGCGTGACAGCTCGTGAGGAGAGAAATGCCGATAATGCATTTCCCTGTTTACATGTGATCAGCTGTGATTGGACACAGCTGATCACATGACCGAGCCGACATCTTTCGGCTCTTTCCGTCGATCGGTGATCCGCTGTATCCAAGGGACACAGCGCACCGCCGATCGCCGCGCAGCATGCTCCCGGAGTCACACATGCGTGGTTAGAATGGGAGGAAGTCATATGACACCTAGGACACCTTGACAAAGTCCAAGTAGAGGGGAACAAAAATTGGTTGGTGTACGCTCTCCCTCTGTGTGCACATGGGACCCACAGCCCAGCAGGGTTCTGGGTAGATGAGGAGAACCACCGTGGTGTTCAGCCCTCCATACTCAGCAGAGACAACTGTGTGACAATGTGGTTGCATCCAGTGATCAGGGAAACTAGATACACAGGTCTATGGCACAGGACTCTTTATCACATTGATACCCAGTCAGAGGTATGGTATCTTTAGTGTTATTTACATACAAGTAGTATGGTGACAACACTTTGGCATTGCCTTGTCAGCAGAAGTCTCGGTATCAGCTGATTATTGCTAGGTGTCACCTTACTTTCCTACTGGCTTGTGTCCATCCATCCTGCCATTGCTGTCTGTGCCTGTTCACATGCTCATTGCGGTTTGTTTTTCACTGTGTAATGACAGCTGTGTAGATATGCGACTTTCCAAGTAATGATTTGATACACAGTGAGCTACATTCATTGTTGACCGGTTGCTTGTCACAGAACAGCATTGGATACATTTGTGACCTGCGAGTCTTGCAAGCTGTATGTGAACATGGTTCAGCCTTCAAGCAACATTGCATCAGCTTGGCTTCTATCTCAGTTTAGTTTGTTTAATATTTATCCCAGATCTCTCCAGAAAGAGGACTCGTCACTGCTTATTTGCTATCACAAAATATTTTAACATTCCTTGTGATATCGATAAAAATGGTTCAAAAATCATTTAGATAGACGATGTAAAAATATAAAATTTTAAAAATCTAAAGTGCCCCTATCCTATCGTGCTTTCATGCAAAGGTGAGCATATCAGTTCTGCATCCCTATGTAAATGTCCATATGTAAATGTCGATTGCACCACACGTGTGAGGTATCACTGCCAATGCAAGAGCGAGAGCAATAATTCTAGCAGTGAACCTCCTGTGTAAATCTAAACTGGTAACCTGTAAAGGCTTTTTTTTAAATCATCGTGTATGGATATTTTTAAGTACCGTAGTTTGGTGCTCTTCCGAGTATGTACATTTTAAAGCGTTACATGTTAGGTATCTATTTACTTTGTGTAACATAATCTTTTATATGTTCTAAAAAAGTGGGTATTCTGCTTTTGTACATTAAAAATGATTAAAGTATATTCTTTCCAAAAAATTGCGTTAGAAAAACTGCTGCACAAATACTGTTTGACATAAAGCTTTGCAAAATTAACTATTTTATTCTATAGGGCCTCTGCTAAAAAGAATAAAAATTTGTATGTATGTATGTATATGTGTATATATATATATATATATATATATATATATATATATAGAGAGAGAGAGAGAGAGAGAGAGATGTTTGGGGGTTCTAAGAAACGTTCTAGCAATAAAATACTGATTTTTACATGTAAACACTCACCCATTCACTAGGATTCCCAGGGCATCATGGGAACTGCAGTTCCTAATGGCTGTGCTGTGAGAATACAGGATGTGATGTGTATTTTTCTCCTTCTCCTAGAGCTGAAGGACAATATTATTTTATGAATTGGAGCTATGATGTCACATATATTTTCTTCCAATGTATCATTTAAATGGTGCGGTTTATATCTAACGTGATAAAAGTTTATACGGTTTACATAGGCGATACTACTGATTGCTGTTTTTCATTTACAACCCAAAGTACATCTTCAAAGGATAGGTTTCCCTTTCCTAACATGTTACATGTTAAGACTGGTACGAACGATGGTATCTGCTTGTTCAACAGGAACCGGGCCACTTTCGGCCTGCTTGTACAGCAGCCTGTCCAGCAGAAGCCAGTCTAATGACCGACATGCTGGAAAACCAGAATTCGATCAGTGCATGTAGCCAATGGCTGTGGGGGGGGGGGGGCCGGGGCCGTCCCCCTGTCCTGAACACAATAGCTCAGCAGGGGAGATATCCATACTAACATTGCTTAGTTAGTACTACAACTCTGTTTTTTTTTTTGTTTAGTCCGCACATTTTTTACCCACAAACAGATGTGCATTTATTTATTTTTTTTATGGTGAACGTATCCTTCAACATTTACTTTAAGCAAGCTAAATGTCGCTCAAATCAGGTTTTATATATACTGGAATAAATTGCTCACAATGGATTCCTGAAGTTGCTGATTTAGGAGCTTCTGCTTACAAAAGTTCTATTTTAAATGCTAAACTTTTTGTGTGTATATAGGGGGGGAGGCATAAAGACATCAATTTCATTACCAAGAAGTATGACATTTACTGTAGTACCTTAGACTGTTATTACAACAAGCACCAATTTTGTGGGCATTTAAACAGCTGGGGGACATTATGCAGTAAGGTCTGGTTCACATCAGTGCGATGAGTTTTTGAATGCGACTTGAGATCCGATTATGCATTGCGATTATGCATTGCAGGTGCTGTTTAATATTTATATGTATAATAATTTATTCAAGTGCTTTGCAGTTACTCAGTTTAGTGCTGTGTGTTTTTGGACGTGATTTCAATTACTAGTACTACTACTACTGCTCTGGACAGGAGAATAGTTCTGCAAAAAACACATCATAATAACATCAAAAATATATGTAGATGCATTTTTCATATTTCATACATTGAAGTCCACATGCTTCACACCAAAGTAGTGCTACTTTGGTATGAAGCATGTGGACTTCAATGTATGAAATATGAAAAATGTATCTACATATATTTTTTATGTTATTTTGATGTGTTTTTTTTGCAGAACCCTTTCCCGAACTTGCATTGCAATGGTGCTGCATTGATGTGAATGGGCACCACTGAAAACAATGCTATTTGCATTGCCATGCGATTCTGTGCGACTCAAGTTGCATTAAGTTAGCGTGAACCAGTTCTTAAAATGCTTGTCTAATTGGTCAATCTTCCCTTAACTGACCTTTTAATGTGTTTGCCATCTTGTTAGGCATCGGAGGCTTGGAAGAATTTGTCCTGAAGTCTGCAACATTGTCTACATCGCCAGCATGTCCTCCATTCATCCCACTTAGCTTTGAAGCCACACCAATTGTCCGAGTTGCTGTGGAACCAACACATCCAAGTAAGTAACAGATGGGATGAACATTTGATTTGAAAGCAGTGCATGGGGGGGGGGATGCATGCTTTAATGTAACCTTTCTCAACCTTTTTACCTCAGAGGATCCTGAAGTTAATTTTTAGGATTCAGAATACTCCTGCTGAAAATGATTATATCAAGCGTTTGTGTATTTATGTATTTATTACAGGTACTTATATAGCGTCTTCAGTTTACTCAGCTCTTTACATATATATGTTCTACATTCACATCATTCCCTGCCCTCAAGAAGCTTACAATCTAAGTTCCCTAACTCTCATGCACACATACACATACTAGGGCCAATTTAGACAGGAGCCAATACCAGCATTTCTTTGGAGTGTGGGAGGAAACCCATGCAGGCACAGGGAGAACATTCAAACTCTAGGCAGTTGGTTGGGTTGGACGGTTGGGATTCAAGTCAATGACCCTAGTGCTGATAGCAGTTCACAGTATATTTGCATGATCAATAAGTTGTTGGTATAAAAATAATGAAAGTACACACAGATAGTGATGTTGTTAGTGTGCCTTTCAAATTGGTGGTCAATGGAGAAATACCTTCTGAAGGCTAAAGGTATTTTACCTTCATTCATTCTATGCATGAAGGTAAAAAACCTTCTGTGTGCTGCCTAACCCTCCCCCCCCCCCCAATTCTCGCCTTTCCCCCTCTCAATCCAGTGATGTGCATGAGAGCGTCAGCTGTCCTGGGACTCAAGAGGGAGCATGTACCAGTACCCTCATAGTAAGGAGCTTACTATTAGGGGCACTGGTCAATTGGAGGGAGCCAGGAGCACCAGCGAGGGACCCAAAAAGAAGAGGATCAGGGCTGCTCTGTGCAAACCCATTACACAGAGCAGGTAAGTATAACGTGTGTTGTTGTTTGTTTGTTTTTTTTTTATAAAGCCAAACCTTTAATACCAAAAAGAAATCACAAATGCATAAAATCAGGTCAAAAATGCATTTTGCATGTGACTAAAAGCCAAGCATTGTTCATGTGGTCACTGTAGAAGGGGGCTAGGAGGACAGTGATTTACTTACAGCTGGACAGCCAGCTGAACTTTAATCCTTCCTTTTGTCTTAGAACCATGTGGGGATGAGGTCAAAGGATTCCAGGAGAAAGGCAAATATATCGGATGTGCTTCTGTTTTCGAATCATTATTCAGGGGAAGGATTTAAGACTTTTAGAGTTAGGTTCACATTGACAGAAAAAAAGTACTTTATACTAGTTAGAGACCCCTTAAAGGGCCATGAAGGGGGTTAATTGTGCCTAACTTGTACTCTGAAAATTGCACCATTTAGCCTGGTTTCCTCCTGAAAAAAAAACAGGTTTGTGAGTGTGCCTAGGCAATCCTGTACATACAACCTAGAACCTGTATATTTGCAGTATGAGATCTGAGGCCTCTGACTACTAGTCTCAGGATATGTGGGGGTGAGATTTGGTGTTGTCACTGCTGCATTTCTTATGTTTTTTTCTTGCTTGAGGATCTGGCATAAGGAATAAAAACACTGCCTCTACCAAGATGGCTGCCTTCACATAGACACAGTGCAGAAAAAGGCTTGATAAGTCATTAATGGTAAAAATCAGAGGCAAGGAGATCACAGGCAGTACTGGTGACTGGTCCTTTGCCCTCTGCCTGCCTTTTCTGTACAGCTTCCAATGTTCAGGTTATCTTTAAAGCAGGATTTAAGCATGCAAATTGCCCCCCACCC